TGCTACTTGAAGTCTCTAAACCACAGGATTTGGGGACTTCAACAGCAGAGTCAAGAGAAAGGGTTGGGACGGCTTTGTGGCCTGCATCATGCGTGAGGTCAGACTAGATGATCATAATGGTCCCTTCTGACCTTAAAGTCTATGAGTCTATATGGGTTACTTTAGCTAATTACCCACCCAAGGTGAGGGCTCACACCTACTTTAATCTGTGAGAGTTCAGCCCCCCAAATCAACTACAGTCGAGAGGGTACCAATAGAAGGGAGCCCCCCTGGTGCACAACAGAGACTTACATGGTGCTTTTTCTGTACTAATAACTTTTATTAACCAACCAATGACAATACACACCCTGCAATCTGGTAAAGAAGAGAAACAACAATACACAATGTCTGGCATTTGCATTACTCACACTGGTCTTTGCAGAGAAACCCAAAAAGTGTCAGTCATCATTCTCACCATGCGCCCCACCACTAAGAGCAGCATGCTGGTTTCCTCCCCCCAAGGCATGCAGGCCAGGACACAGCTTAAATAATGTGTTATGCTGACACCTACCAGGGTTCAGATATATTTATGAAAGTTTTAACCTTTTTCCCTTATTTGAACTCTGCTGCTTTTGGGATGCCCGATTCTTCATGGTTAGTTTCTCTTATACTCATTAACATATATAGTACCTTATCACCATAGTAACAGGAGGTTACCTTAAGGAAGTCTCTCACATTTCACCCCGGCTGCCAGTGGTCATCTTCTGGTATCTACTGATCTCCTGTAGACATTATTGTCCAAACTCAGCAGTTCTTTCAAAAACCTCAACACATCACAAATACAGAAACAAGCTCAGCAAGTTCTCTGTATAAGCTCGAAAGTTTGTCTCGCTCACCAATAGAAGTTGGTCCAAGAAAAAAAGGTATTACCTCACCTGCCTTGTCTCTCTAATATTGAAAATAGGGATTTTATTTATAATATACAAGCTTTGTTTTAGGGGCGGAGGGGAGGGGGTTCGGTGCTGCACTAGGGGTTGAGGAAGGAGTACGAATGGAGTAAGAAAGGAGAAGGGGTAAAGGGAGAAAAAAACTGCCCAGCAGGAAGGTACAAAGAGTGGGCAGCTGAGCGGGTCTGTGTCCCAGACCTGGACTGTTTTCTTAATAAGCTGAACACTAAGTAGCAGAGTTTATATCTCAGTCTGTTTCCAGCACTGAGCCGTCAGTGATTGGCTCTGACAACTCAGACAATATTTGAGATCTGTCATCTTTTGCGAATCAAGGCTTCTTTCCTCTGCATTCCAAAAAATGGAATGTCCGGCAGCCACAGACTTAACACTTAATTTTGCTGGATTCAGCAAGTCTTGCAACTGTAATTTGAATCCAGGAACGTTAGAACTAGCAGAATCTGCTCCTTTCCCCCAGCCAGAAATCTGTGTGAGTAGCAGAGAGGAGCACATAACTCACTCAACAAATATGGCTTCTTTTTCTGTTCATAGGCTGTCCTCTTTGCAGCACTTGAGGCAGGGGCGGGGTAGAACCCTGGAGCACCTTCCTGAGTTCTGCCAGTGGCACTGGAAGCAGCCAGGGTAAAGGCGAGCCCAATGGTGGGCAGCTCCCCTGTGCAGCTGGTGTGTAATCATGGGGGGTGCCTGCTAGTGCGGTTGCACAAGCACACAGCTTAGGGAAACCCTGGTGATGCACCTTGTGGCTGCTCCGCAAGTGGCTGGGCCTAGTTTGTATAGTTGGGGATTCCAGTATTGCCAACCCCTGTTCAAAAATCATGAGTCAGCTCCCTCCCTCCCCCGAAAATCATGGAATTGTCTTTAAAAAGTCATGATAAAAACCACCAATTTGGGGGCCTTTTTATTTGTCTTCTGGGTTTTGAGCCTTTGGAGAAAAGCTGGGACACATTTTCAAGCTTCTAGAAACTCATTTAAAAAGGCATCCAAGGTTCTCACCTAGTCACTGGACTCCAGGAGCTGGGGCTTTAAGATCACCCAGTATCATGAGATTCACAATAAGTCATAAGCATTGGCAATGCTGGGACCCACAGCAATGACTGGGGCTCTCTCCTCTGTCACAGTCACACAAATAGTTGTGTGCATGCAGTCCTAGCTACCAAAGGCACAGTCAAGTTCTCTTCTGGCTTGTTTAATTTCCTGTGGGTCAGAGCTCTGGAGCAGGGAAAATGAGACCCCCATTCCCCTGCTGTAGTAAGTAGTGCCAAGCTAATAAAATAACCACTTCCTCTGCAAACACTTGAACGTGCACACTCAACACTCGTTTTCTGTGAGTCTCAGTGCAAGGAACGCTCAGCTACTCAAATGAGCACAAAGAGGCATGAGCACGGCCTGGGTGAATTTATTCTGCAATCCACACCAATACTCAGACATTTTGTCATAGTTGCCCAGCTCCATTCATCTTTCCAAGCCAGCAGTGCTCCACCTCACTGTGCACAGAAAGTCTTTTCATTCCAAGCACACCGTGTAGTCTTTCAGGCTAGCACTGCAATCCACCTCATCCATTTTTTTTTAATTCCCGGAGCAATGGAATAAACCTCTTGGTGAAGAGTACAAGAGCTCTGCAGGTTATTTTGGATTCACCCTGATGGAATCTCTGGGAAAGAGATTCCCCTTTCTTATTTATTGCTGGTATTGTTTTGTGGAAGAAATCAGTCTGTGTACTGCATCAAGGTGTGCTTCAGTTACAGAGTGCAGGTTCTCACATGGTGACTGTGGCCCCACTGGGGTCCCCACTCAGCTGTGCATGTTTGGGGGTGAAGACAGATTTCTGGAGTAGCGGAGGAAGTTTATTTGAGGGCATATTAGAAATCTGGGATCTTTATTTGTCCCCTTCCAAGGTTCCCCACAGCAGCACCAGCTCAAAGCCACTACTCAAGCATGAAGAAAGGAGCCTGAGGAGCAGATCCATCCATTCCAACTCACACCTAGGTGCCCCTCGCGCAAGTGTTTCACACAGCTCTGCTGATGGTTAGTTGCATGCCAGCCCTGCTTTGTTTCAGTCTCCCCTGTTTTCATACACTGCTAGTATTTCCACCAGCCTCTTAGTTATTGCTAGGCTGCTCACAAAATGTGCACGGCATTGCAGACTTCCCATGGTTATGCCAGGGCCGTCTGGAAAGAGGGTAGACAGAAGGCTTTGTCAAGTCCATCTCCACACCAGCCAGCTATCACCAAAGGAGAACTGGGGTGGAGGAGGGGGTGTTTTCAGAGGGGATCGAGGCTCCCTTGAAGGAGCACAGCACAGATTGTGCATACATTTCCGTCAACACCACATGGGCCGGGTCACTAACTAACTTGTATCTGACTAATCAAAAGTCTCTAGACACCGACTCATTCAGGAACAAATCTAATGAAATGACGGAGCACCATAGAGTGTCTTAGGCTCCCATGTGGTGGAACAGTTCTGGCTGCTCCCAAGAGCAGAGGAAGCTAGATGGAAGCAGGCTCCCTTGCAAGGAGGAAGTGCTGGCTACAGCTAGAAGAAGGGAAGCCAGGAGAAGTGGAGACACCTGCAGTGGGTCAGTTCTGGGTCCTAGCATGAAGAACAAGGGCTGGAATGAGGGAGACTCCCTTGTAATGAGGCTGCTTCAGATGCCAGCAGTGGGGAGGGGAACCTGGAATCAGAGTGACTCCCTGGGGTGATGAGGCAATATGGGCTCCTCCTGGAAGGAGAGGGAGAGGCCCTCTGGAATCAGAGAGCTCTCCCAGATAATGGGGCATTTCCCAGCCAGTGGTATGCTAGGTAGAGACTGTCCAGAGGAGTTCTTTTCTAAATCACTAGTTCAGTGTGTGCTACAAAAGAGCCCAGCTCCGGCAGATTTGCAACACAGCCCCCACCCTCTGGTCTAGCCCTGCACCCAAAGCCAGCCCCATCCCTGCTCCCCGCCCCACTCCAGACAGACATCTGTACCTGCCGTGAAGATCTGGGCCGCTACTGCCAAGAAGGCGTCAGTCACCACGGTCTCAGAGTGCAGTGAGATGTTCAGCTGGCGGGCAATATTCCGGTAAACATTTGGTCGGATGTATTCCAGCTCGTCCCCTGGAAACAAGGGCTTGGAGTCAGCAGGTGGCCAGCACAGACACTGCGTTTCACTCGTCCCCTTGAGAGAGATGATGTCAACCCAGCCACCATGCCTCTGGAGAGGATATTCCTCCCCCTCAGCCCCCATTTTGCAGATGGGAACACTGAGTCAGGGAACAGGGGTGAAAGAGGAAATCCATCCCCACACTGGTGCTGAGGCCAGGCCAGGGACCAAGGGGCGGCTGGTTGCATGCACACACATTTCTGGGGCCGCTTGGCCATTGGCACTGGTAGCTCCTGTGAGCGTATTGCCACAGCCAGCCCCACCTCCTCCTGACCGCCACAAGCCTCCGCTGCCTCCTGCGCAGCAAAGGCTCCTGTGGGGTAGCACAATCAGAGGTGCCAGTGCTGCATGTGGCAGAGAGCCCCCCGCCCCATGCTACTGGCATTCATGGGGTAGGGGCCTACATCAGCTTCCCAGTTCCTTTGCAGAATTGCTGCCCAAGTGGTGTTCTCAAGGCTGCAGAAGGAGTCAGTGTTGGGGTGGGATTTGAACTCAGGAACTCTATCCTAATCCTCTGTTAAGCCACTGGACCCCATCCGCCTTTTCTCTTGCCTGGCAGCACAAGTGCTGACTACAGTGACTATGGTTTCTTCTCGCGGCAGGAGAAAGATCAACAGAAGCAAAAATAACTTGATTTTTTTATACTAGAGGTGCAGGTGCCTCCCTTTATTTTAGCTCTTCTGGGGCACACCCTTTTCTACACAATAAGAAAAGCCTTGGGAGGAAAGGGCCTTACTAGCCCTGGAAGCTGATGAAAGCTGAGAACGGGCCTGAGGCTGTGAAACATTCAAAAGGCAGAGTGAAGAGTGTCAGCTCAACTATTTTACATTAACATGGGCACAGAGGAAGATCTGGAGACCTGTGTGTTCTTCAGAGGGCTACATGGTTTGCCATCTGCATGGCTGACTCTTAAACTTCAGAACACACTCAGGCCTCCAGGTAGTTCTCCAAGATGGGAGCCCAAGGCATGTATCGGCATGAAGACCACCAAGAGAAAATGAAGTCCTGTCTCCACTACAAATGTCAATGAACTGTGTTGTAGGACCCTTGCAGAACATAAATGGTCCCCAAGCTGGTTTCTGTCATGTCCACACTGCAAGTGAAGGTCTGACTATAGCACAGGGAGGTATATCTGTGCTGCCTTTAATCTAGCTAGCCTGGGTAACAATAGCAGTGCAGATGTGGTGGCACAAGCTTCAGCATGGGCTTAACAACCAGTGTACAAGTCCACTGGGGACCATATGTACTCTGGTTTCTAGCCCATGCTGCCATGTCTTCACTGCTACTGATACCTGTGCTAGGGCTAACTCAGGTGTGCCCACCCCTGCTACAGTCACATCTTCACTCGCAGCGTGGACATACCTTGGTAGTCTAGGTGGGAGTTACTCAACTTCCAGCATTGTGCAAAAAACTTTTGGGGTGGGTTGTCTATGCATGGCATTGGACAAACACTTAAAACATGTTCAGGTCACATTTACACCGCAAGGCAGAACCACGTCTCAACTGTCTGGGGGACAATGGTGGTGTGACCAGATCCTCCTGCACATCTGGTTCTGTAGCATAGATGGGATCGAAAAGGCAGGATTTTCTCTGACCAAATGAAGGACTCTGGAAGCGTCATTATTAGCTACTAAACATTACCCAATTTATACAACCTCTGACATTAGTTTTTAAATATTTAAGCAGGCAACCTTTACAGTATTCCATAAAGTGTTTCGACACTTCTGAGGTTCAATTGTTCCATGCAATCTGATTAACAAAGGAAACCCTGCAATGCATGCCTGAGGCTGATAAGAGGGAATGTTGCATATGATATGGGAGAACTGTTCCTCTGTCTCAGGGTTACACAGCCTTAACCTCTGAACATGAGGAACAAAGGGATAGCCTCACCCTGTGCTAGCTGAAATATCTGCATGATGGAGGAGGGGAATAGGATAAGCACTTGGCAGAGCACTATTATTCCTCACTATTGGTTTTATTACTGGAGGGCCTAAAGGTAGTGTCCACGGTGCTAGGTGCTGTACATGCACATAGCAAGAGTCCCACTCTTGAGGAGCTAAATAAATAAACAAGGAAAACAAAGGTACAGAGAGGGGAACGATTCCCCCAAGGTCACACATCAAGTCAGGGGCAGAGTTGGGGACATTATCCTGGTCGTCTTATTCCCAAGCCTGCTCCTACCCACGAGGTCACGCTGCTTCTGAAAGCAAGGGAGCCTTCTCTCTCCATGCTCAGCTGGAGTGTTGTGATCTCAGCGATCAGCTTGTCAGCATTTCTCCCCGCACAGTTGTGAAAGAGCATGGAGAGCAGCGATGGCAGCTTAGTCACATAGACCTAGAGGGGCCCCTTCTGAGGCCTTGGCTCTATTAAGTGTGGGACCAGTTCAACGAAAGCTATTTTAAACTAGTGCCAGGCAGTATGGACACTCATCATCTGATTTAAATGTGGTTTATATCACTTACTGAAGTAAGCAAAACCAATATAAACCAGGTTTAAATCAGATGATGAGTGTCCACACTGTTTTAACCAAATCACCACTTGCACCTGTTTAACTAAACTGCCGTAACTTTGAATGACCTTGGCATGCCTAAGCTTTGTCTATATTTAATCTCCGCTGCCATTCTTATTGAATAAATATAGATCCTATCCCTGTTCTAGATTTCCTAGGACCAGTGCCCAGTGTAATGGAACTAGACCAAGAATGCCATGAAGTTCCCCTAGGTCACTGAACTGCTACCAGATGGATTGTGCTTCCAACCTCTCCTGCTTTGCGCCTGTTCTCTGAGATTCTCAAAGTGCTTTATGGCATGGCCTAGATAAGCCTTACTACAGTCCTACAAGGTAGGTATTATAGCCTTTTCACAGGTGGGTAAACTGAGGCAGGGAGGATAAATGACTGACAGTCACAGAGGAAGCCAGTGGCAAAGCTGGGTAAAGGACACAGAAGTCCCATCTCAGTTCCTCTACTCTAACTTCTGAGTGGGGGTGGATTTGAATTGGTAACTAAGAGATGAAAGATTTCATATCTCCTATTACCAACTGCTGGGGCATATTTCACCTGAACTGCAAAGCCCATGCTAGCGTTAGGCCAGGTCAACACAGCTAAATTTTGTCAGCATAGCTACATCAGTTGGGGTGTGGGGAAAAAAAAAAACACCCTAGCTGACGTATCTATGGTGACAAAACCCCCCATGTAGATGCAGCTGTGCGGAGAAAAGAGTGCTTCTTTCATCTTAGATGATGTTGTTGGGGGAGGTGGTGTTATGTTGGCAGAGCTCCTTCTGGTGGCATAGGCCTGTTCCGGCTTAGCTATGCCAACATAGGCTCTGTAGTGTAGACCTGGCCGTAGAGAATGAGCATACACCACTAATGTCACATGCCAGCAGGATGAAGAGGTGTCCAAACATTTCCCAGGTGCATGGAGCCCTTGGGAGGTGTCAAGCCAACTTCAGCAATCCTTTCCCTGGCAATGCAGTCAACAGCTGCCCCAAGGACACTCAACCCCATTGTGGAGCAGAGGAGAGACTATGGCTGTGTTATCTGCCCACCTTGTACTTAAGAGTGCTAATGGTGGAGATGGGGACGTATCTGCCTCTGCCTGCCCTCACCCAAAATACAGATCCCAGGACCCACAAAGCACTCTCTCTACGGCCCAGTGAAGGACTGTGTGCTGTGGAGAGGCTGACCCCAATCTGCCACAAGGTAAGGTCAGATCCACATATGGAAGGACCCTCTGTCTGTGGATCTAGGAGTCTGACTGGGCTCTGAGTTACAAAACTGGTGCTGGGAATTGAGGACCTAAAGTTCCTTTTCTGTTGCTGAAGTACTACATCCCCCCTCATCCCAGGCTGGAGGCAATTCCCAACAAATAAGGGCTTGTCTATGTGGGGAAACTGACCAGAATAGCTTATCCAGAATAGCTTCCGGTGTAGACACTCTTATTCTGGAATAAAAGTTATTATAGAATTCTGTATTCTGGAATAGACTATCCACTTGAGCAGCTGTTCTGGTCAATTGCCCCTGGGTCTGAAGTAAACATGATCCAGCAGCCTTGAGGAGAAAACTGTGAGAAAGTAGATGGGCACATCTACACAGCACTGAATGCTGAGGGAAGCCACAACAGATGGCAGCAGGGGAACCAGTAGGACAGAGAACTTTAAGGGCCTGTGCTGGTCCCCAAAATCTTCCCTTTGCCAAGGAAGAACAGACACAACAACCAATGGTTGGCCAGCAAAACATAGGGGATTTACAGTGCATGGCTAGCTCAAAGCACTGCACTGATTCCAGTTAAGCTCAGGAAGGCCAGTTTTTCAGCTGGTGTCAACGGATGCAATGCTATTGACATCAATGGCACCAGAGTGGTTTACAGCAGCTGGGGACCTTGCCCCCAAGGGCAGCAGAGGCTTCACTGACAGGCGGACATGCAGCTGGCTGGTGGCGAGGCTGATACAGCGATGGTGGTTGTTCCAGACATAGGTGGATGGTTGGTTTGTAGGAATTTTTTTTATAATAAAGCTGAACACTTATTTTTAATGTTTGTCACCAGTTAGTCCTATTAGCAGCCACAGTGTCTCACTGCTCAGTGCCACTATTCCTCAGCTGTGAGCTCTGTAAGAGCATCCATACAGAATTCCCTTTACCCACTGTGTGTCCAGGCCTACTCGCTGGCTTATCATGCTCACTTGCCGGCTCACCTTACCATCCATATGCATAAGCACAAGCACTAGGAATGCTCTGTTCCTTCACATATACTGAGTGCTCCCAGCAACTGTCACTGGGCGAGAACTGGTTTAGCTGGCTGTACCAGTTGATGCAGAAGTTTGGGGCTCAGGTTCCTGGCATGTGCCTGGGAAACAACAGTGGTTTAACACCTTTTGCTGCAGTTGGCTATTTACAACAGGAAAAGGGAAGGAAGAGCTAAAGGCCATGTGGGCAGCAATGTTTCTGAACAAGTGATCAGGAAATGACTGTATAGCTCAATATGAAGAATGATTTTCCCCTTGTGTCCCTTATATGTGGTTCCATTCCAATCAAGTTTGCTTAGAGAAGCCAAGTTCTTAGGACTATCAGCCAAATCCTTCCATCTGAACATAAGCACAGTAACAGAGTCAGGACAGTCGTCAAGGAGACGCCTTCAAATTCACTCTGCCATCTGCTCGCCCTCCAAAACACTTCTGCCACCCACATTTGACCCCACCTGCGCAGATGGAGAAAGAGAGAAGACCAAAAAGGTGAAAGGGAATGGAAGGAAAAGGAAAGAAAAGACAGATGGCAAAAGAGAGGAAAAACCAAAACAGGAGAGAAGAATATGTCTGGGGAAGAGAGGAACTTAGAGGAAAATAAATAAATGAAACAATAGAAAAGGATGAAAAATTCATCTGAGGGGAAAACCGCAGCCTGTAAAACAAAGACCAAAGAAAAGTCACCAAGATATAGAAAGGGAAAGGAGAAGTCGGAAAGGAAAAGAGGGAGAGATACTGGACTAAATTCCCAACACATGTATGTCAGCGAAGCACACTGCAAGCAGACTGACAGTGAAGTCTATGGAAGTAGACCAGCAGAGGGTCAGGTCCACAGGATTTATTTTATAGGAAGTTTGCTTCAGGCAGCATTTTGAATCCCTGGTTTATTGGTAATGTTCTGGCAAAAAGTGATCTGAAGATCATTTGGACAAGGAGGGCGACTAGGTACTAAAATACTCTCCACAACCACAGTGACAGGAGGAGACTAGGAGAGAACTGGCTGACTTTAAGACAAAGGCTAAATCTTAATAGGATGGGCAAAAAGTCATGCAGCATGGCCAGCTGTCGGTACCCCAGTATGCCTGTGAGGTGCATCTAGTACAAGCTGATATAGGGCAGGATGCCACTGGTTGGCCCAATGAACCATGCTCCCCTTCTTATCACTCCTCTCCACAGGAGAGCATGCTGGCAATTATGCCATGTCTACATTTACCAGAGGCCAACACTGCTGTGATCAATGCAGCGGGGGTCGATTTAGTGGGTCGGGTGAAGACCCGCTAAATCGATGGCAGAGCACTCTCCAGTCGACTCCGGTATTCCACTGGATTGAGAAAAGTAAAGGAAGTAGGGTTGCCAAAGTTCTGCTCACACTAAACTGAACACCGTTGCCCCGCCCCTGTCCCACCCCTCCTCCGAGGCCCCCACTGCCCTGCCCCTCCTCTGAGGCCCCGCCCCCACTCACTCCATCCCTCCTCCCTTTGTCGCTTGCTCTCTCCACCCTCACTCACTCGCTCATTTTCACTGGGCTGGAGCAGGGGGTTGGGATGCGGGAGGGTGTGAGGGCTGCGGCTAGGGGTGCCGGCTCCAGGGTGGGGCTGGGGATGAGAGGTTTGGGGTGCAGGAGGGGGCTCCAGGCTGGGGCAGGGGGTTGGGGCGTGGGAAGGGGTTCTGTCTCCAGCTAAGGGTATAGGCTATGGGATGGGGCTGGGGACGACGGGTTTGGGGTGCAAGAGGGTGCTCTGAGCTGGGATCGAGGGGTTAGGAGAGCGGGAAGAGGATCAGGGCTGGCACAGGGGGTTGGGGCATGGAAGGGGGTCAGGAGTGCAGGCTCCGGGTGGCACTTACCTCAGACAGCTCCCTGAAGCAGCGGCATGTCCCCTCTCCGGCTCCTAGGCGGAGGCGCGGCCAAGTGGCTCTGCGCGCTGCCCTGTCGGAAGGTGCCGCCCCCGCAGCTCCCATTGGCCACAGTTCCCGGCCAATGGGAGCTGCAGAGCTGGCGGTTGGGGCGGGAACAGTGTGTGGAGCCCCCTGGCTGCCGACTGGACTTTTAACAGCCCCGTCAGTGGTGCTGACCGGAGCCACCTGGGTCCCTTTTCGACTGGGCATTCCACTTGAAAACTGGACACCTGGCAACCCTAAAGGGAAGTCGATGGGACAGCGTCTCCCATCGACGCAGCGCGGTGTAGATAGGGTTGCCAGCTATGTTCCCTGTAAGCTGCACAGTCACGTGGCCAAGCAGCAGCCTATTAAGCGCAGCACAGGCACTCAGGGAACCCGCCCAGCCAGAACCTGCTGCAGCTGGCGGAGGGGCGCCCCTTCCCCGGCCCCAACCTAGCCCAGCCCCCAACCTGCTGTGTCCGGGGGTGGGTGCCCCTCCCCCAACCCGGACCCAACCCTGCCGCAGCCAGGCGTCCTTCCCCTGCCTCCACCTCAGCTCTGGACCTGCCGCGGCCGGGGGAGAGGCACCTATCCTGTGGCCCCAGCCCTGGAGCTGCTGCAGGGAGAGAGAGCTGGGAGGGGAGGAGGAGGGAGTCCGCTCTCCCCACCGTAGTCCCAGGGCAGCCTGCACCCCAAACCCCTCATCCCTGGCCCCACCCAAGAGCCTGCACTCCCAAACAGAGCCCTCACCTCCCTGCACCCCAACCCTCTGCCCCAGCCCTGAGCCCCCTCCCACACTCAGAACCCCTCAGCCCACCCCCCATCACATTAATTTTGTTATGTGCATCAGTATGAAGGTGATGTGTTATCACCATATTGGTGCACATAACAAAATTCATTCTGCACATGTATGGGAAAAAGTAGAGGGAACGCTGGTTGCCAGGCATCTGGTCGAAAAGGGACCCTGGTGACTGGGCCATTAAAAGTCCAGATGGTGGCACAGTCGGGCTAAGGCAGGCTCCCTGCCTGCCCTGGCTCTGCGCAGCTCCCCAGAAGCAGCCGGCATGTCCCTGTGGCCCCTAGGCACAGGAGTGATCAGGGAAGTTCCACGCACTGCCCTCACCCCAGCACCGGCTCCGCAGCTCCCATTGGCCGGGAACCATGACCAACAGGAGCTGCGGGGGTGGCGCGCAGAGCCGTCTGGCCATGCCTCCGGCCAAGGGGCAGGATATGGCAGCCGCTTCCAGGAGTGGCACGGAGCCAGGGCAGGCAGGGAGTCCTGACCAGGAGCTGCCTGAGGTAAGCACCACCCAGCCAGAGCCCACACCCTGAACACCCTGCCTGAGGTCAGAACCCCCTCCCATACCCTAACTCCCTCCCAGAGCCCGCACCCCCTTCTGCACCCCAACACCCTACCACAGCCCTGAGCCCCCTCCTGCACCTCCTCTGACACTCCAACTCCTGCCTCAGCCCTGAGCCCCCTCCCGCACTCCAAACCCCTTGGCCCCAGGCCGGAGCCCTCTACTGCACCCGAAACTGCTCATCCCTAGCCCCACCCCAGAGCCCACACCCCCATCCGAAGCCTGCAGCCCCTCCCGCACCTCAACACCCTGCCCCAGCCCTGAGCCCACTCTCGCATTCCAAACACCTTGGTTCCAGCCTGGAGCCCCCTCTTGCACCCCAAGCCTCTCATCCCCAGCCCCACCCCAGAGTCTGCACCCCCAGCTGGAGCCCTCCCACACCCCTGCCCCAGCCCAGTGAAAGTGAGTGAGGGTGGGGGAGAGCGAGCGACAGAGGGAGGAGGGCTGGAGTGAGTGGAGGGCAGGGCCTCAGAGGAGGGGCAGGGCAGGGGAGAGGCCTTGGGGAAGGGGTGGGACGGGGCAAGGGTGTTTGGATTTGTGCAATTAGAAAGTTGGCAATCCTAGGTGTAGACACCGCGGTAAGTCGACGTAAGTTACGTCGACTCCAGTTACGTTATCCATGTAGCTGGAGTAGTGTAACTTAGGTCGACTTACCTGCCTAGTGTAGACAAGGCCTTAGTGGTGCCATCTCGCATATGCACTTGATGCCAGCACCGCACATCTTAGCCCCAATGGCCACCCCCACCCCCACACCACGTGTTCCTACAATCCAACATCCAGATCTTGGTAACTATACATAGTAATGGTGTTCAGCTGATACAGCCTTTAGTGCTTTGCTAGCTGGATGCCATCTAACCATCCCCACCACATATTTGCCCCTTGCATCTTTTTTCTTCCTGCACAACTCCACAGGCAAAGCCAGGTTGTGCAAAGCTCCCTGGACTAATGATCTGGCCGCACCCCTCCAAGCATGGATGGCCCCAATGCCAGAAGTAATAGAGAAGACTCCTGTCCAACTGAGTGAATCAGAGAGAGACAGTCTAAGGCAGATGGCAGTGGATTAACTGTCACACTTTGTTATTGAAATGCAGCCATCACAAGGTTCTCTAATGCACACAGTCCAAGTGGAAGACGCCCAATGAAGCATCCCTACAACTCAGTCACCCCCTTCCTAGGTGAGCAATTGAAGCAGCCCAAGTTTACCGCTAGCAGAATTATACAGATAAGACTGTCACTGTAGTCCAGCATTGGGCTGTCATGGAGGCCAACTCACCCTGCTGAATGCAGAAGAGATTGTGAGCTCTGATGGGGTGCTAGTCTGGGGAAACCATGGATTGAATGAACACAGAGACAAAGGGCTTGATACTGCCCCCACTGAAGTCAAAGGCAAAACTCTTATCAAGTTTTAATCGGTGCAGGATCAAGCTTATATTTCCCCAGGGACCTACAGGAAACAGTCTCTCCAGAATCACTGGGATGAGCAAGGAGCTGCTCCTTGCTCCAGGTGGGAGATAAGAGTAGAATGAGGAGGTGCAATGGGAACCAGTCTGGATGCTCCAAGTGCAGAGAATAACACCTAATTCTTTAAGCAAATAAGGTCTTGGCTGTGTGGGACGCCCTCTTGGCACTCAGCAGTCCCTGCCTTTCACCCGTTCCTGGTCTAGTCAGAAGTGCCCCGAAGAGACCCCCTCAGGACCCCTGGCCCGCAGCCACAGCATGGATGCTTACCTAGTCGCAGAAGCACGCTGGACACCTCAGCCAGTCTGCCGCCAGGCATGGGTGCACTGTGCTCTGGTTTGCTCCAGCCAATGCCAGCCCAAAGCAGCCGGGAATGTATGTAGTCTCTGCAGAGCACCTTAGCCTGGGACACCAGCTCCTTGTCGGTGGGAGACCGATCAAAAACCTCCATCACCTCCGCAGCAAAGACCGAGGAACGGCGTAGCACCTCCATCCCTGACAGCTGAATTCACCGACTCAGGGTGTGCCTATCTGAAGTCTGCCCCGAAGCCTTTGACAGGAATCTGTAGCTATTGTTTAAGGGAAATAATACACTGGGCTCATGATTCGTCACAGTTCCCAGCAAAGTTCTTGAATTAACCTTCATTAGCTTTACCTGGTGGATAAGAGCATATGGAAATCCATCAGCTCACCCAGAAAGAAAAAGGAACATAGGGCCAGATACCCTAGCAATCTAAATCATAGTGCCATGGAAGTCATTGCTGCGACACTAATCTACACTAGCTGAGGATCACGTGCATTGAATCTTACAGCGAACAGGCCAAATCTTGCAGTCCTTAGGTGCCCACTGAGGGCAGTGTGGGAGTTTTGCCTGAGTATGGACTGCAAGATTTGCACTAATAAGATATTTTCTCTTTTCCCCCTTTTAATTTCAGAACTGCTGAATCTTAATTTCAAAGAGACTAAATAGTTAGAATCTGGAAACAATTTTCAGAATGTGTAGACAAGACCAGCTTGCTTCAATTAAATAATCTAGGAAATCAAACCAGAGTCCCACATTCCAGCTACAGTACCTCAAGCAGACGCAGACACACAAGAATTCCAGCTCATCAGAATGTGGATGTTGAAGGAAGGAGGTCACCTATACACCATAAATACTGTGCTACAATAGTGTTTCAATTTTCAAATCTCCCACTAGCCCTTATCCTCAGAGACAAAAGTTCCTTGTTTAGTGCAATCCTAAATTAGTTTTTGTTCCTGTGACTTGTTTAAGAGATGCACTCTACCAGCTTTTTCTCCCAAGCCTTTCAACTGCAATTGTCTCAGCAAAGTGGAAAAGCAGAAGTGCCAGTACCTACAGTAAGGGACCTAAAATCCATTTAGAAGGACCTGAATGAAAGCTTTGGGTCTGACTTCAATGGAGCTGCAGGTGAGCAACACCCCCTAAAAAAAAAAATCTGACCAAAGTTTTAGTCAGGTGGGTTTGAGACCCTCATTTTAGGAACCCATATTTGAAAGTTTTTACCATAAAGAAAACAATGCCAAATTCTTAAAAACTTCCAAGCAAAGGACATATTTACCTCTCATGTTGCATTTCCTTCCTTTCAATGATCTTTTGTCGGTTTCAGCTGCTTCTTATATTTCTTTGGAAGAACTGGTTCTTTTTAAAGATTATAATGATTCTCTGCTCCTATCCTCTGCTGGAGCTAGAGCACAACTGCTTGCTCGGTTCTTTATTCTCTCCCCATCTCTGGCAGCCTCCACATCCCGTCTGCACTCCAGTATGATCCTACCACTTGTTCTGCTGTTTTTGAGAGCTTGGGGCAGCCAGAGAAAGGAAAGCCTCTTGCTTTAGCCTTGTAAGGAAGATGAAATAACCAGGGGCGGGGTTATGCAAGCCAGCTAGCAACAATCTCCCCTCCCTTTTCTTCCTCAGTTAAGGAGGCTCTAAGCAGTTGTACTGCTAGGTTAAGAGGGACTTTTTTCAAGATGTTCCAGCCCAAACAGAACATTGCTTAAACAGGTGGCTGAGCTCCAGGGAGAGCATGCTCTGATGTACCGCTGAGAACACTACCAAGGAGAAGTATTATTCCCTGATAAGGGTGTATTCCTGTGACCGCTTTTGCAGAATCGGCAATAGTTATTTGCCCATAGACCCAAAAGTGCCAAATCATGGAACGGCAGCACCTGCAGTGGGTGACTGTGATGCTAGATTTTGAACAGGTTGTAAAGTTGAACTGTAAGCAACACAGGTGCTCAACAACACTGAGGTGAAACAGACCAGATCAGTTTTAATTCCCAAAAGGTTATTAGTAGAGCTGGTCAAGAAATTCAATGGGTTTCTTCCTCCCTCCCACTAAGCAAAACCGAATTTGCAGTGAGATTGGATGGGCTCAGGGATTGTTTGAGACACAGACTGTCCAAACCAGGTCAGAAGAGATGTATTTATCACCATCTGATGGCTGTTTGGTTGCTTTTGTGAAAGGCCTGAGGTAAGGACACCTGTAGGTTTACACTAGTGTAGCTACACTGGTGGCTGAAATGCCAGTGCAGTCAAGACCTATTCAGTTTCTTTCTACAAGGTTACCAAGGCATCTGTTTGTAAACATGCTCTCATTCTTGCAACGGCCTCCTCCTGCCTGATTCACTGAGCAATACTTCAATCCAGTGTTTGTGAAATCATCACCTATCATTATGGAAGCAATTATGATGTCACAGTCTCTGGACTGATACCACTAAGTTAATGGACTGGATGGGATAGGAGGCAGCTTGCTTCACATACAAGTATTTTGTTAATTGTCAGTGACAAGAAGACACAGTAAATGGAAGTGAATGTTTAATGGGGCTTCGTCAAAATATTCAGGTTTTCTGAACTGTTGTTTCATTCTTCAAGGGCCTGATCAAAAGCTCACACAGAATTCTTATTTATTATTTGTATTGCGATAGCACCTAGCACCCAGTCATGGACCCAGGACCCCATTGTGCTGCACTGTATAAATGCAGAACAAAGAGACTGTTCCTGCCCCAAAACAACTTACACCTAAAGTAAGGGCTCCTGCAGACTTCAAAGGTCTTCATGTTTTAGAGCTTGCTCATGCCCTAAACTGCATCAGGTTTAGATCCCAAATTACTGCTATATAGAAATGTTTGTAGCTACCCACTTCAGTCATATATAGCATAGACTGCCCTTTAGAACTACAGCTGGCATGGACCCACACAGGGTAACAAATTTTCCCTGTGGGAGAAAATTGCAATGCACGCCACTTCAGTACACAGACACACACCTTTCACCATAGAAAGGGTGATGGAGGAGAAGAAAACGAAGACAGTACCACTGGATACATCCTGCAGAACTGAAATACATACAAGTCTGTGGCAAATTATCACGTTATTAGTGCTGATGCCAGGAGCCACAGAGTTACCAGTTCCGTTTATCAAAAGACCAGGTACAGCAATGGAGAATTCCCACACTTCCCCACCATTGTGCCTGCACCTTAATCTGGAGGGGCGTCCTGAGGAAGAGAGGGTATTTTTCCATCTTTATTCAGGACCCAATCCATCAAGGTGCTGAGTTCCTTCCCCAAGATGCTGTTTATCATCAGCTTCTATAATTAATATTAACAACAAGGGGGAGGGAATACAAGCCAAAATAGGGAGAGAACAGCAGGACCGGCTCTAGGCACCAGCGTTCCAAGCATGTGCTTGGGGTGGCACTTTTCAAGGGGCGGCACTTTTTTTTTTTTTGCTTCGGCGGCAGCACTCCCGGCCCCCCCCCTTTTTTTTTTGCTTGGGGCTGCAAAAAACCTGGAGCTGGCCCTGGAGAACAGGTTAAAGAATAGTTAGATAAGTGGGATGTAGTCAAATCAGCAAGGCCTGAAGAAATTCTTCCTACTAGTTACTACTTATGAAACTAGCTGAAGCAATTTCTGAACCATGAGCAATAATCTTTGAGAATACACAGAGGATGGGTGAGGACCCAGAGGACTGGAGAAAGGCAAACATAGTACCTATCTTTAAAAAGAAGAACAAGGAGGACCTGGGGAATTATAGACCAGTCAGCCTAACTTCAATACCTGAAAAGATACTGGTACAAATGATTAAAAAATCAATTTGTAAGCACTTGGAAGATAATAGGGTGATAAGGAATAGCCAGAATGGATTTGTCAAGAACAAGTCATGCCAAATCAACCCAATTTCCTTCTTTAAAAGGATAACTGGCTTAGTGGATGGGGGGAGGGGGAGGTAGTAGACGCGATATCTTGATTTTAGTAAGGCTTGACACCATTTCACAGATCTGAAGAAGAGCTCTGTGATGCTCAAAAGCTTGTCTCTCTACAAAAATATTACCTCACCCACCTTGTCTCTCTAATATCCTGGGACCAACATGGCTACAACATTGCACATAGTTTCACATAACATTCTCATGAGCAAATTAGGGAAATGTGGTCTAGATGAAATTAATATAAGTTGGGTGCACAGCTGGTTGCAAGACCACACTCAAAGAGTAGTTATTGATGGTTTGCTGTCAAACTGGGAGGGCGTATCTAGTAGGGTCCCACAGGGTCTGTCCTGGATCCAGTACTATAAAGTATTTTCATTAATGACTTGGATAATGGAGTGTCATCTGCAAAGTTTATAAGTACACCAAGCTGGGAGGGGTTGGAAGCACTTTGGACAGTATTAGAATTTAGGACGACCTTGACAAGTTAGAGAATTGGTCTGAAGTAAATTAGATGAAATTGAATAGAGACAAGTACTAAGTACTTCACCGGGGAAGGAAAAAAAATCAAATGCCCAATTACAAAATGGGGGTAGTAAAAGATTTGGGGGTTATAGTGGATCACAAATTGAATATGAGTCAACAAAATGTGATGCAGTTGGAAAGGCCAATGTCATTCTGAGGTGTATTGTCAGGATTGTCATGTGTAAGAGATGGGAGGTGACTCTCCTGCTCTATTTGGCACTAGTGAGACCTCAGCTGGAATACAGTGTCCAATTCTGGGCACCACATTTTAGGAGAGATGTGGATAAATTGGAGAGAGTCCAGAGGCGAGCAACAAACAATGATCAAAGGTTTAGAAAACCCGACTTTGCCCAGTTTTTTTAAACTTTTCCTCATAGAATCACAGAAGTGTAGGACTGGAAGGGACCTCGATAGGTCATGTAGTCCAGGCCATTGCGCTGAGGTAGGACTAAGTATTATCTAGATCAGGGGTTCCCAAACTTGGTTCACGGCTTGTTCAGGGTAAGCCCCTGGCGGGCCACGAGACACTTTGTTTAGCTGAGTATCCGCAGGTACAGCCACTTGCAGCTCCCAGTGGCCACGGTTCGCCATTCCTGGCCAATGGTAGCTGCGGGAAGGGATGGCCTGGTCTGCGCCACTTCCTGCAGCTCCCATTGGCCAGGAACGACGAATCACAGCCACTAGGAGCTATGAACAGCCCTACTTGCGGACGCTCAGGTAAACAAAGTGTCTCGTGGCCCGCCAGGGGCTTACACTGAACAAGCCATGAACCAAGTTTGGGAACCCCTGATCTAGACCATCCCTGACAGTGGTTTGTCTAACCTGTTCTTAAAACACATCCAGTGATGGAGATTCCACAGACTCACTAGGTAACTTTGGTTTAGTGCTTGACTACCCTTACCATTAGGAAGTTTTTCCTAATGTCAAACCTAAATCTCTCTTGCTGCAATTTAAGCCCATTGCTTCTTGTCCTATCCTCAATGACTAAGGAAAACAATGTATCACCCTCCTCTTTATAACAACCTTGAACGTTCTTGAAGACTTATGTCTTCTCCCCTCAGTCTTCTCTTCTCCAGTCTTTCCTTGTAGGTCAGGTTTTCGAAGTCATTTTTGCTGCTCTTCTTTGGACTGTCTCCAATTTGTCCACATCTTTCCTGAAGTGTGGTACCCAGAACTGGACGTAATACTCCAAGTGAGGCTTTATCAGTGCTGATTAGAGTAGAAGAATTACTTCTCATGTCTTGCTAACAACACTCCTGCTAATAGATCCCAGAATGAGGTACACTCTTTTTTGCAACACTATTATATTGTGGACTCATATAGTTTGTGATCCACTATAACCCCAGATCCTTTTCTGCAGTGCTCCCTCCTAGGCAGTCATTTTCCATTTTGTATTTGTGCAATTGATTATTTCTTCCTGAGTGTAGTACTTTGCATTTGTCCTTATTGCATTTCTGCCTATTTATTTCAGACATTTTTCCAGTATGTAAAGAGCATTTTGAATTCTAATACACCTCTACCTCGATATAACGCTGTCCTTGGGAGCCAAAAAATCTTACCGCGTTATAGGTGAAAAACCGCCTTATATAGAACTTGCTTTGATCCACCGGAGTGCGCAGCCCCGCCTCCCCAGAGCGCTGCTTTACCGCGTTATATCCAAATTCGTGTTATATCGGGTGGCATTATATCAGGGTAGAGGTGTACTAACCTCCAGAGCACTTGCAACCCCTCCTAGCTCGGTATTATCCACAAATAAGTGTATTCTCTATGCCATGATCTAAATGAGTAGTTCTCAAACTGGGGGGTCATGACCCCCTCAAGGGGTCATGAGGTTATAACATGCGGGGGTCGCGAGCTGTCAGCCTCCACCCCCAAGCCCCGCTTTGTCTGCAGCATTTATAATAGTGTTAAATATTTAAAAAGTGTTTTTAATTTATAAGGGGGGTCACACTCAGAGGCTTGCTGTGTGAAAGGGGTCACTGTGGCAGGGCAATGACTCACCGGCGTGGCACCTCCCACTGGTCATCCTGGGAATTAGCTCTTCCAGCGCTGAGCGCCCTCTTCAGGCCAGTGTCTTGCCTGCCACTGGCCCCATGTTCCTCCCAGACCCTGGTTCCCCTCTCT